GAATGAGCATTATTGTTTCCGGAAATAAAACCGGTTGTTCGATGTGTTCCGAAGGGACACTTCGAACACATAATAAAATCCGTTTGTAACGGACTTCAATAACGAACAGCCGACGTATTTGTATAGCCGATGAGCATTCTTATCTTCCGCTAATCCATTTAAATAATCTCAGTCAGCCCGGTTGTTCGATGTGTTCCGAAGGGGCACTTCGAACACATAATAAAATCCGTTTGTAACGGACTTCAATAACGAATAGCCGATGAGCATTCTTATGTTCCGCTAATCCATTTAAATAATCTCAGCCAGCCTCCTGATCCCTTACAGCCATTGATGTTCCAGGACCATAAAAATTTTGAAGGGCGAAGAGGTAGGATTGGTATTACTTCTTATCAGGAGTGTGCCTTATTTCCTCCAGTTTAGCCATCAGGTCTTCAATCTTCACCTTGCCTTCCCACATCTTCACAAACATTTTTTTACGATCATACACGGCTACATAAGGCACATAGGAGGCACCAAAAAATGGTGGGAAAAAGAATTGATAGTCTTTACCAACGGTTATGTTTTTATAGCTGGCCAGCTTTTGTTCCTTTGCAAACGGCCGCAGCAGCGACAGGCTCATAGGTGTAAACAGGTAGAACCCGACATCCTTTAAAGAATCCATTTTAGTGGTCAATGCTTTAATGAACTGCTGACAGTGGTCGCAATCAGGGCTAAAGAAAACAAGGACGGTAGGCTTGCCTTCGGGAATATTATAGGTATTGACAATCGTAGCACTGTCCTGCAACAGGATATTGAATGCAGGCAGCCGGGGATATTTCTGATAAGGCAATGAATCTCTTTCCGGTTTTGCAGCCGCCGGCTTTTGCGCTTGCGACAGGAACGGCACTAATAACAATGGAAGATATAGCAACAGCTTTTTCATAAGATCAAAAGTCGGCATTTAGCGATTTATATGCAGCGGAAAGGTCTAAATTTGTCGTAACATTATAATTATGCCCGCAATAAACCGATAAAAGTCACCGGCACACCGTGGGTTTCAGGCGCCGGCAATGCCCT